AAACTACGGCTGCCGTAATGCACTTACATGTACATACATGTGTTCTATTGCACGTCCTGAAACAACTTCACCACATCTGCCTTCACGCCCTCTGCGACATGTAACATCTTAATACGCTTCCACTATCTTTGAATAATGTTTCTCTGGCTAAACAGAATTACAACACACGGTCGTAACTTTCACTCGAACTTTCAATACTAAAATCTCATATCAATGCTCTTAATCACCACTACACCGTCTGACATTTTAATCATCATCATCATCACCACGATATCGCTTATGCTAACTTTCAAGGTTATCACCGCTGTATCCCGTGCTATTTAAAAGTCACTTCCGCGTCCATCATATCACACCCAGTTCACTTAAAACAAAAACAACAACGGCGAGACTTTGCGAGAATCCGTGACTTCAGGGCACACCGTGCAGGAGCTACAACATGCGTCCTATTTTTGGAATTACATTGTATTTGGTTTCCCAAATGGGCCTACTCGGTCAAGGGCAATAAATAAGGTGCGTGTATGTGGGAAAATCCAAAAACATAACATTTTGAACATATTGAAAAGTGTAACCATAGTAAGGTGAAATATTTTGACCTCAACTTCCACGCAGGCGCGGTTCTACGGGGGGGGGGGGGGGGGGGGGGGGGGCTAGGGGGGCTGTAGCCCCCCCCCCCCCCCCAATTTGTTTCCAAAGGAAGGATTGTGATGTACATGCGAACGGTCTCCCCCTAAAGAAGAAATAGCCGTGACAAGGGTGCATTAGTTAATATAGTGTGAATGATTTTAAGGTTTTTATTGGCGCTCCCCATTGAAAATATGGCATGAGCCCCCCGGCCCTCTCCATTAATCCTTGCATTTTGCGCTTCCGCATACCTCTTAGGCCTTGTACAAAAAGTGACACACAGACAGACAGGCAGCGAAGGATCTTTTAATGTAGGATATTCACCACCATCCCTGTCCATGTCATTAGCACTGTTAACAGAGCTATATACCGATATCACCATCATCAACAACACCACCAACTATCTGCCACACATTATTTCCTCTCCACAAACAATTCTTTGACATTAATATCATCAGGACCATATTTCATTTATTCTCATCCATATATTCCATATTTTATCCCGTGTTAGTGCTACCATCGCAGGCGGGTTTTAAATTTCGAGAATAAGAAGAAGCAAACACTTCTCAACACTCTGCCACAATTCGCACCATACGTAAACATTTGAAAAAAAATAAACGAAAATGCTGACAAGTCTGGCTGACCGGACACACCAGAAATACAAAACTCCTGACATTTCGTTCCTGGCAGAGTCTTTCCTCAAAAAGATATAGCAATTTAATATAAACCCCGTGTTAAGTGTGGCCCTCACACATTTTGATGTGCATGTAATCTCTAAAGTGCATTTGCAGCGTAAAGTGAGAAAATGTGTAGGCGTAAGTACATAGCCTTGCTGGGTATGCCACGTGTTTTTGTTGAAACGTTTGACACCACTGTGGTGCTCTGCGCCTTGGCTGGTAATAATCAGGGGGGAAATCAACACTATAATTACAATAATTCGAATAGGGTAAAAAAAGAGCTGTCAATTCCCATTCCCGATGAAAGATAGCCTCTGGTCAGCTGCAGGGAATTATTAGAAAGTGATTGGTAAATTAGATTTTTTTTGCGAAATCCACCAGCTCCTTCAGCTTTGATAGAATTGTGTTTATCCAGGGCAACATGTCACACGGAGCGTCGCCGTTGGAGGCCCGTGCGCGCTTCCCGTGTAAACGTGTTGCCACCGCCGCCTGTTAACGCCGTGGCCAGAAAACCCGGGGGAAATTAAACCCATCATAATGAAACATCTTCATCACTTGTTCCGGCCAAGATATGCAGGCAATATTTCTAATTACTTAGTTTGTCATCCGCAGATGGGAATGGCCTGCCTCGGCGCTGGCGCTTTATCTTTTTCTACCCTTTTTAATCAGCACAGCAGACGCATTTTCTCCGTAGGGAAAAGTGCTTCGACGTCGATCATGACTGTGTCGCACTAGGAGAGTCTGGCCCAATTTATGGTATCAAAATCCCGGGTTCTTTTCCTGGAGGGCGTTAACTAATAATGGCGCTGAACGTTCGAAAGAAGGCGGGATAATTTCCTTTGAATCGCCCGCTCATTGTACAAATATACAGTAACTAATGGAACACGAATCGTACTTCTTACTGTAAATAACATCAATTACGAGAACTGATATTGAATGAAGATATTTCCCACTCCTTAATTATTTTCTCGGAGAAGAGGTGCTCCATTCAAAGGCTGCACAGATTATAGAATTAGATTAAAAGGTATCGCTGTCATTTGTGAGTACTGGCATGCGAGTAACCGGCCAGCCTCCAAACGACACAAGCAAATCGGAACTGCAATTAGGTTAACAAGATGAAACCATTTAGCATAGGAGTATATTGATGTATGTTGAGTGACAGAAATAGGCCGACATATCAAGGCAAATAAGGCCACACTATCAACATGTGATGTCGTGGCAAATCACATTTCGTTTCGTCTATTACTCTTTTTTTTTGGCAGTTTGCTTGTTTGCTTTTTCACCAACCGCCCAAATTAGAACACTTTCAAACAACGCAGCACTTTGTTGAAAACGCATCAAATGTTTCCATCAAGTAATATTATAAGATAATGACAATCACGACAATTTAAGTACTAATTACTCACACTACCTAAATGTTTAGCATTTGTTTTGATGAAACATCGAGTACAATGACATGAAAAAGGATTCCAAGTATGTTTTGGTTTATAGGTTAACGAGAATTGCCATATTGGAGTGTAGACCTGTCAGGTTATTAATTAAACGGGTTAACAACTTCGCAAATTTCTGTTCAACCCCTTCCCCCGCGGTGTGTATGTGTGGGGTATTGGTGAGAAGGTTTTATTAAGCACAAACCATGCCGTAAATTTCCAATTACCCCGAACCACTGAGTCAGCGATCTCATGTCTACACTGGTTCCAGCAACCACCTTCCGTGGTCTACAATAACAATTACAATGAAAGTATAAAGGGAATGGCGACCAGTGATTCGCTCGCTAGCAAACATTTCTCCTTGCAATAGGCCTAATCAACGAAATTAAATTGCCTTTCAGTTCGATCACTGCCTCCATATATCTCACTCGGTAAAATCAGCACGACGCAAAGCAAGGAATTACAGAAACTTTAATTTTGTTTTGCCTGTTCGCATAACTTATGATTGAGGTCAGGTACCAGTCTAGTACTTCTGGTACCAGTCTAACTAGTGCATTTCATGTTAGTTCGTATTAAGCTCGCAATTCAAAGCTTCCTGATTTCTCATGTTTTTCAACCCCATTTCAAAACAAATTATCCAAGAATGACTCACAATTTAACCTGTTAATCCTTGTGTCTAACTTTTAAAAAATCAGAAATGCTTTTATGTGAATGTCTTTAAACCGATTTAACATGGGAGAGACGCTGTTTACTAGTAAGAGGATTAGCTTAACTTGTGTGTGAGATTCGTTATTTAGATATCCATGTACTAAAAGTAAGCCTCGAGCAGCCGCTTGACGTTTTCCAGCTGCTTGTAAGTTGTAACTGCAGTTTGACTTTAAGGCAAACAAATTGTAGCATTTCGTTTACACTGTAATCGCCATGTGAAGATGACGAGTGTTCCCCAAATATAGCCGTTCACAAGACGTTCAACGGAACGTTTGTAAATTGTTTTTGCTGAAGTCAATTTTGAGTTACAAGCAGCTGCAAAACTTAAACTGCTGTTTGAAGGTTTTTTTTACTTTGATGGGAAACCGAACAATGAATTTCAGTCAAAATTAGATCCAGGCCTTTTACTATAGTAAAATTCTCCCCTAAACTGTTTATAAAATGTTTCAAAAAGCTTGAGTGGTACGAAAAGAAGGAAACCCACTTTTGACAGCAATTTACACCTACTTGTTGAGCATATTTCAAAAGTTTAATTTAATGGTATTAAAATATTGATCTTGAAACATAAGTTACGACAAAAAATATTGCAAATGCATATTTTGTCTCTGATATAATTGTTTTACTATCATATTATGATAGTAAAACAATTTCATGAGCCAAACCTGCTCGTCCACGGACGGCTTTATTCCATCCGCTTGACTGAGCTCCGGAGCTTGATTTGAAGAAGAAAAAAACACTACACTAGACTTACACGTGAACAGTGATTTTGGTGAATTGTATTCAATTTACACTATTGTTGCAGGGGTTTTTTTTGGTAAAGATTTGTCACCATGTATGGTTGAAGAGCTATACTTCACTACATTATAAAACAATTCAAATAAATTAAGTCAGTAGGTTTAAATTCCTGTCAAAAGTGGCTCTACTTCGTTTTGCACCACCTTGTAAAGTGGCTTGTGTTCAAACATTGAGATTTTACAGTGTACGTACAAATCTCGGGGTCATATTTCCCTTTGTGTTAATGGTTCAGGCCGGGGATTGTTTCGCAGGATGCAGTTTTGCCTGACTCGCTTTGCACGGAGACCAATTCCAGTACCTGAATTGATGTATTTGTCGTATTAAGGGGCTGTTAGCAGTGTTAATCACTGAGAAATGTAACTTACATTGATCATGCCACGACGACCATTCACGTTACTCTATACGACGTGTAATAATGTAGTACAAAGGAACTTGAGAATGAAGAAAACTTTGAAATGCTACTCACTAAATGGAGGACCTTATTACGCTTGGTGGCAGCACACAGTCTGGTTCTTAAAACAAATACTCCAGCAAATGGGCACAGCAGGATTATAACCTCAGCTGACCTGTAGGTTGCACGCTGTCAAATTCTCCTAGATCCGCGGCAAGGCCATATAGGGTGTGCAGCCAGGATTCGAACCGTGGTCACCTTGGTGAGAGGCGAGCGCTTTACGCACAAGCTACCCATGCCACGAATGATGGCGTTGCAAACACAAGAAAACACACACTAGGAAACACTAGAAACGCTAGAAAAAATGTTGAAGCAATTTAGAAACTTGACTTTATCACACAAATAAAGATCGTAAAAGGTGCAGTTTCGGAGCTGTACCAATCTCTGTTTATATTCACAAGTATCTCGTCGTTACAGCGCCCTCAATTGTTCAAAAATATGGTTAATTGACCTTGTCTATTTGCTGCCACCAAGTGTCAGAAAGGGCTCCCATTGTATTGTGCATCTCTGAACAAACCACTGCTATGAGTGGTTGCCGTGAATGTCATGTTCAGACCCTGACAGGCGAGATGATGGCCGTCTTGCTTCACCGTCCATCTGCACAACCAGCGTGTTGTTGATCTCACCCATGCGGAAACCGCAGGCCTGTTCCCGAATGGACTGGGTGGTGTTGCGCTCCGGCGTGATAAAGATGATGTAGCACTTGGGCAGAAACATGAAGCCCAGGATCAGATAGTTTGTCAGCACTACGGAGATGATCTGCATTAATGCCTGCAGCTTGCCGGTGGTGGAGAAGTAGGTGGGCAGGGACACCACCCAGATCACCATGTAGAACAGCATGGTCACCGTTATGTATCGTGTCTCGTGGAAGTTCTCCGGGATCTTCCTTGCCCGAAACGAGAACACGAAAATGATGCATGCCAAGATGGCGTTGTAACTGTACATGGCCACAAAGGCTAAAATGGCGCTGTCACACTGTACGTAAACCCTCGAGTTCGATATGTTCTGGTCCAGGAGTACCCTTGAGGGCTGGATGATGAGATAGACGGTGACAATGATTCCCTGGACCAGCATTAAGACATTGATGATCAGGACCTGCAGACCGGTACGTCGGAGCCGCGAGCGAAGCGAGAATCCACGCCACGTCGTGTCGAAGACGTCCAGTATCCGGCGCGTTTTCACCACAAAGATGGCCAGCACACCGGTGTTGTTGAGGCTGTGCAGGGCGATGCGGAAATTACACGACCATGCGACAGGCATGCCGATGTAGAGGAAAGGCTCCAGGAATGAGACGACCAGCAAGGTCAGGAGGCAGTAGCTGATCTCACGATTGGAGGCCCTCACGATGGCGGAATCGTTGTAGACCGTGAGCGTGACAAGCATCATTAGTGTACAGATCATGCCCAGACCACAGAAGCACATGACCACGACACTCACTGCCTCATCCCACTGTAGCACGTCAAGAGTTTTAGGATAACAGACAGATCGGTTCTGATCCGACCAGGTTCCTTGGGGACACTGCATGCACACAAGTTGTCCTGAAAGCGAGATTTGAAGGCAAAAAAGAGCATAAGATTAAGATAAATATTTCATCTACCTCGATAATTATAACATAACGGCGGAACACATTTGATGACATATTAAGTTACAAACAAGAGAGGAAAGTGATCAAAGTTAGTGAGCTAAGATTGAATTGGTGCAATTGAAACGGTTGTGTCGATAATATAGACATCAACTACAACAATTATCATTCATTTCAAGTGAGTTTTGGTGCTAATAATGACATTCGGGTTGTGGTTTGTGATTTGTCATACCTGGCGCGAACGCAAATTTCTGTCGACAAGGAATTTGCATTGAGAATTTGACAAAGTAGAGAATATTTCCAAACGAATGTTTCATGACGTCAGATTTGCATTTTGAGATGAAGATTCGGTATTAAGGAGCGGGTCGTGTGCAAATTGGAAGGGCTTAACAGGCCAACGTCAGAGCAAAACTCGACTTGTTGACGTCATGAAATTCGACTCGAATTCACAAGAAGTGGACTACAAATTCACCTCAAGTGTCGGTCTAGTTACCATACTTGTTAGTCTTGAGAAATGGTCTCCAGAGCGCGGGCAACTGACCAGTAAAATAATGTAACTTAAAAAAATCCGACGATTATTCTCGTACTACTTTGGAATGCAGAAAAACACCTGCAAGTTTTTTGTTCTACCTGTCGTATTTGTGAAGGAGCCTTCGGGACAGCGTGCGCACTGGAAGCAGCAAGTAGGCAAGCCATCTCGGCTGACCTTTCTGGTACCCGGCGGGCATGGTGACTGACACACACCTGCAGGAGGCTATAGACACCGACAAAAATCAAAATATGAATAATTTATTACTTACAGCAAATCAACTTTAAATAATTTGTGACATGCCTCAGTCTATAAGCCGGTAAACACAAATACAAAATATAAAGCGGCAAGCGTTTCTGTGTGTCATTGAAGATGTACTGTCCTTGCTGTTTTGAAATTAACGCCCCAAAAATTAGATTTTTTTAAAAATTGTTTATTGCCATTTTTCTAACGATGATGTGTTAGCTATTTAAATTTGAAATGAGACATCGACTGAAACATATACGAATCGGCCCAAGTTAAGTTGTTGAATAATTACTCTGCAAATTCCTAATTATTTGCGGCCTGACAATAGCTCAGTTCTCGAAGGGCTGTCTGGTGCCCGACAATAACTCAGTTCTCGGGCTGACTGGTGCCCCACAATAACTCAGTTCTCGAAGGGCTGACTGGTGCCCCACAATAACCAAGTTCTTGAAGGGCTGACTGGTGCCCGACAATAGCTCAGTTCTCGAAGGGCTGACTGGTGCCCGACAATAACTCAGTTCTTGGGCTGACTGGTGCCCCACAATAACTCAGTTCTCGAAGGGCTGACACAATAACTCAATTCTCAAAGGGCTGACTGGTGCCCCACAATAACTGAGTTCTTGAAGGGCTGACTGGTGCCCGACAATAACTCAGTTCTCGAAGGGCTGACTGGTACGTTTGTATTTATTTTTTTGTTAATTTACGAAAGGACAATTTTGCATGTTCTGGTTGAAATAATACTACATGTATAAAGGATCAGAAATTGTTTATAAAAGAGAAAAAAACACACATTTAAGGACGAACACAGACGTTACATATTGCAACTGCATATCGTGTTGATAGTTTCAGGACACGTGACGTAAACCAAAACGGTTAAGATAAGATGCTGTGTAGATTGTTACTCACAAAATTTGTTTTTCATTTTAATTTAAGAAAGGACCTTTTAATTATGGGTTCAGTGGAATTAAGGTTAATTCCATTCAGTAACACCTCTGTGTCACGGTAGTTCGATGTCGTTGGAAGTCGCTTAACCTTTGGGTTAATCACTTGGGCCAATTGGACGATAAAACAGGAGTGAAACACTGAAACTCTAGAATATAGTGGTCGTTAACTTTTCCCAGCGACGTTTCGGTTCCACGGGGTGTGCTTTGAAAGGGCAGAGCGCCGTCATGGCCAATTAGCTTTCAATTGGTCGGAGAGGGAGTAGCTATTTCAGAAGATTCATGCGCTTAGTAGGCCTACACTCATAAAACGCGCGCAGTTCCAACCGAACATGCAGTGTGTGTGTTTCATAGAGTGTAGGCATGTTTAGTACAAGCAGTAGACTGCATAGTAACCAGTCTACCTCAGCCATAAAGTCGGTTAAACTTTAAGCTATTGGAGCTGGTTAAATATAGGGAGAAAAGGTTTCCAAAACTCAACTTTTGACTGAAATTCTTATTTATACACATTTTGGGGAGGTATTTCAGTCTATAAGTATAACATACGTCAGACAAAACATTCGCTGCGACATTCGCCGCAGTTGAAATGAGTTCAACTCTCCCATCACAAGACTGCCGTCAGTAATTCATACCAAAAAAAGACCAGTTCAATTTCGAGCGACAAAAAGCAGTTGAATCCGCCGAAGAACATGTGCTGCTTGCTATTGGTTTAAGACTTACGCTTTCCATGATGTGCTGCCAAAATAGATTATGTAAAAGCTTTTGCTGTCGCACGATATTGCGAATCGATTATCGTACATTCAACTTAACCTACTAAACACGCGTGCATGTCAGGACAGGCAACTGCTTCATGCAACTGATATCTTATGGTTGGTATGCGCCTTGGATGACGACACCTCCCCTTTAGTTTGATTTGCTTGTTGTCCTGCATACTCATTATGTGTCACGCTTAACGCTGTGACACGCTTAACGCAAGCCACAGGTCAATCTGACAATCTACGCGCTGGTCGGTATCAAGCTTTAAATGGCCCACCATGGTACCTACTTGGTACTTGGTGGTTATCCTCCTGAATACTCCACGGGGAAGTCTAACAAGGAGGCCTTGGGGAAGTGGAACTAAATTAAATCCTAAAAGGTGTTGTGGTTTGGGGCGTATATGGTGTCTTGAGGGAGCTTGCTCCAATTCCGGATAGTTCTGGGTAGGAATGACTGCATATAGATGTCTGTCCTTGCTGCTGTCCTTGCATGTCCCGCCATTTTGAATCTGTGTTCAGACTATTTTGTCAGATACATTCAAATAAGCAACCAAAGCGTAGTACGATGATCAGGCAGTCAAGTGTGCAGAGCCACACGAATATCTGATATATCCTAGCATGCACATTTTATGCGAACCCGCGCGCCAGCCAAATCGGAGTCGACTTTAGAAACTGTGACATCATTTCGATCAGAAAATGTGGCCGCAGCTGTTGATTGGTCAACTTGGCTGCCATGTTTGTGTTATATAACAACGGTTTACGGAAGACCCGATAGAAGGCGTCCGCTAAATAGTCACAATCTGATGTCAATGGGTTTTCTTGTCTAGTATAATTAATCGCCGAACCTGCTCGCATATCATAGATCCTTGCTGTGCAAGGGGCTATTCCATAGACTGCCAAAGTGAGGTTTTCAGTTTAAAGCCATTGTATGGTATTTGAGGCCTTTTGTTTTTAAATCGGCATTTACAAAGGAGTACACTGGATCCTCGGTTTCAATGCTAATATGTCTATACCTGGGTAGGTATTACATTCACTGTGTGGACTTCCGAACAAAAGAGGTCCACATAAACCAGGTAGAGGCGACGCTGTGTGGACTTGGGCAAGTCCACACAGTGTTTCCCCATTTCTGGAAAACAGGTTTAGAGGCATTTTTGGGTAAGGTTTATCTGTGGCAAAATGAAGAGAACCACTAAAGGGGATCACAGAAAAATATTGGGTTGAAAGAGTTTTCACAGTTTGAGAAAAATGAGTTTTTTCACTGTTTTTTTTCTTAACTACACGAAACCAAGGGAATGTCCACACTTGGTATGTAACGTAAACATGTGTGTTCATGTTTGTGTATCTCACTGCCATTCATGCCAATGCGCGTCCAGATTTCGAGATTTCAACAGTCACGCAAACAATGCAGACGTCGGGACGGGTCCAGAATTGTAAAGGCGAGGGCCAACCCGTACTGTAAATTTTAAAATTGTCTGTTGAACGCGTGAGAGGCCTGTGTAGATAGGACATTAAAAGATAAAAGATTCAATGCTTCATCATGATACAAATTTGGTTACCACCAAGGGCCTGTACTAAATAAATCTCATGGCGAAACCGTATGGTTTAGGTGCCATGGGACAGCCTAATATTTGTTTGTAAACGACGATAATGCCACAACTATACATTATGATTGGTTCATCACATCTGAGCTTTTGTTTCTAGGGATCTAGAAAAATAATGTCAGTTCCATCCAATCAAGCCATTAGTCTACGTGACCTGATTCCACTACTCCTCGTTAGAAGAAAAAAACCAAGGACTGTTTTTCCTTTGCTTTTGATGATGATGACTTTGGAGAAGATGTCAGGATTCCGACGTCCCGGGACAAAAAGCCCGCGAGGAGGAAAAACGAACCCCACTCTCGAGTCCCTCCCTTTCATCTCTTTGTGTCCGCGCCTAAGCCATCTAATCTGGTCATCTCCACGGGTCAAATGAAGCTACAAGAGGGGCCCCCTGATAAGCCCCGGCCCTTCAGGTGATATGTTAGCGCCGAGCTACTTCCCAGAAATGAATAATGACGGATAGATTCATCCTCATTTGCCCTGCCATCCCGAGCTGTCTTTTTCCATTTCCTGTTTTTTCATCTTACTTAACTTCAACAGATGCACCGCGTTGTCTAAATGTTTAAACAGTAAACCCTTAAACATGGAAAGGTATTACTCAAAAAGTTCGCTGGCATGAAATAAAATTTCTGCATTTTAAATTTATATCCATTTTGTAATACATTACGTTAATGACTGTTAATAGTCCAGGAAAAAAACACTGTTGTGATCACCCTCAAGGCACTTAATCGTCTTGAGCTTACCGGCTACTTATATTCCTAATGTCTTAGATCTACTTGCCGTCTTCTATGTCTTTGAAATGAATCATGCAAACACGGTACAAATAATCGAATGATACTGTAAAATAATATAAGAAGGCTGCCTACGCCACTTAGAGTCCCATACGACAATTTGGTCCATCATGTAATTTTGCCCTGAATACAATTACGGCAAGCATTATTTGTTTTAACAACTGAGTGTAGCTCAAGTCCTCAAACGAATTGTCTTGCACGATATGTCAGCACTCAAATTTACAAGAGAAACCTGCATTTTTGTCATACGAAATTACTCTTACCTGTTTTATAATACATTTTGCCTGGTCTATGTATAAGAAATGATAGATAGGTCAGAACGAAGGCTGCTAAAATCTTAAAATAAAAGTGTCAGGGAATTTTGTTTATAGTTTTCTTGTTTAATTTTTATGTTTTTTTTGTTTTGTTTTCTTCTATTTTTTTTTTTGGGGGGGGATTTTGGGGACTATTTTTTTCTCGAGCCGGATATCAAGTATCAAGCAACATTGTACCCTATATTTATAATTTCACCACGAATTGAGACCAAATTGTAAGTTGAAACGCACAACATCAAGTTGCGGTCGATAAGTATTAAGATGAACTGACAGTTGACTATTAATGTATGCGCTTTAATGTGTTGCGGAGTGCGGACGGACTTAAAAACTGGACTAAAGTGATTTTTGAAAGCCTGTGATGACAGCACCACTCGTCAAGGGGTGGATTTAATTTTTCTGCACATTTCCTCTAAAACGGGCTGCCATCTTCAGTTTGTGAAAATTTAGTAATGGGATACACTTGGCATCTCGTTGTTTATCATTCATTTTGTGCGAACTTTTCTTCAGACTTCAAGGATGTGCTATAAATTTGGGGTCCTATTCACATTCATGACACTTATTGACTTTCAAGTAGAAGCCCAAG